CTCTCTCTCTCTCTCTCTCTCAAACACACACACACAAAGGGGGTCCGAAAGGGGGTCCGAAATCCCCCGACAGGTGAGTGCGCTGGGGGGGCCTGGCCCCCAACCGGGTGCCCCGCCCGGTCAGGCCGCCCGGGACCTCCCCTGGGCCCCTGCCGGTCACCCTGGCGGCCTGGATCCCCACTCAGAAAAAAAACTATAAATGAGACTTTGCCTCTCACCACCTAGAAAGGCTTTCTCTTTAAAGCACCAGTACATGCCAGCTATCAGCTGCAGGGCCCTTTCGGAGGCCTCCCACCGCCTCGCCGATTCATTTGATCTACGGCGCTCGGCGTCCTAATTTTCCGGAGAGGCTTAAAACAGGTCCTCCAGTTGCCTGGGGCCATGTACTGGTCGTTTAACAAACCCATGAAGCAGGCGTTGTCAATCATTTTTTTTAATCTTTTTTCCCCGAGAATTGTCAATCGTTCTATGTATGTATGCAAGGTATATAGCTCTTGGTGATGTCAAACTGCGTTGTAAGGAGAGCGCGAGTCCACATGCCTCAAGTGAGAACTAGTTGCATGCCTTTGCTGTGTGTGGTTAATTGTTTGATGTTGCTTAGCTTGTAGCTACGTTGTCATTTATCTTCTGTTTGTTGTATTTTCTTTTGTCTGTCATATTTTGTTCACTATTTTCTGGCATATTTGTGTGCCTGGGGGTCACCGTTGGTCTTGGTTTTGTTGTTTGTCCAATCCCTATCCTCCCCAGCATGCGGCGCTGCCACTGATTGACTGGTCGTTTTCAGCCGTTCGCTTTTTCCGACTGCCGGAGAGTTCATCGAAGTTGAACAGAGTATATATATGCGCATGTGGCGTGCGCAGGTTCTCGCGGAGTGTGGCTGTCATGAGCATTGTTGGTCACATGTTAGGGCTCGGAGACCGGCATCTGGACAATATTCTAGTCGATTTCAAGTCGGGCGATGTTATCCATATAGACTACAACATATGCTTTGAGAAGGGCCTCAGGTTGAGAATTCCAGAGCTTGTTCCCTTCCGTCTGACGCAGACAATCGAAGCCGCACTTGGATTTAGTGGCGTCGAGGGGAGTTTCCGAATCGTGTGCGAGGAGGTCATGCACGTTCTGAGAAATAATCGCGAAGCAATTATCATGTTGCTTGACATCTTTGTGAGGGACCCTCTTGTGGAATGGCTAAGAGGTGACGGGCATGATGAAGCTACCATTGGAGGAGAGGAGCGCAAAGGCATGGAGCTAGCAGTGAGCCTCAATCTCTTTGCATCGCGAGTTCAAGAAATCCAGTTCCCATTGCAGGTGGTATTCAACCAAACCTGATTTTCTCTCCTGCTGTGTGTCGGAGTTAACTTTTGGGTTTAAACTTTAAACTTTAAATCTTACATCTATGGCATTCTTAGTTGAAACCGGGTGATGTCCCCAGTATTTCATGATGCTGTATTTTCACAAGGGACGCTGGGCCCGGTTCCCAGCCATGTTGCTCCCCACAAATAGATTTGGAGCATCGTCTTAAAAAAAAAAAAAAAAACACCTTTATCAGACAGTAGAAACACTGGGAAGACATTTTATCTGATTGAAAAGCATGCCGGCAACCACTAAGTAATATCCAAAAATAACCAGGAGGCGGGGGGGGGGGGGAAAGAAAGAAAGAAAAAAAAAACCTCCTTTATCTCCTCGTTGTTATTTTTGGATATTACTTTGTGGTTTCTGGCATGCTTTCCAATCCGATAAAATGTCTTCCCAGTGTTTCTACTGTCTGACTTACCCACACTTTCCCTGCTTAGCCCTTTCTAAATAGTACACACCTTCTTTTGTGTCAAATTAGCACAAATTAGCCCTTTGTAATTAGAGCACAGTCCTCAACACCTTGTTTTCTGTAAACTAGCACAAAAATGTGGTGTATTTTCGTCGTGAGTCGAAGTCATTGCAGCAATTGTCCCTGCGAGTTTGGGCAAACGTGTTCAAGTTGGTTCGGCTGATGACAAAAACGCACCGTAGATGTCCGAATTTTTGATGTAGAGAAAAGGGTTTAATCCGCCAGTGGGTCAGGCTGGTAGTCGCTTGTTTCGTTAGTTAAAATTAAAGCCACCACTCTACCACGGGGCATCCTATATTTACGCCCTTATAAATGTGGGCCATGCGGCAGTTCAGCCATAGCCCAGGGGCCAGGGCAGCCGCAAAGGGGAACTGCTGCCACGGATATCAACTGTCGATCGCGATCTTGGTGGTTCGTGTTGGTGGCCAGAGTTTGTTTTCTCTGTTACTGTCACGGGTTTGACAAATCCTGCATCATCGAGAGGAAAGGATCAAATGCTTTGTATTTGAATCATGGTAACCGCCCGGACGTCCGGACCGGGTTCCAGACAGTCCGGTGTCCGGTGGGTGGCGGGTTTCGCACAGGCCCAAGCAATTTCAAAGCGGCTGTTTCGACTTGGCGCCCGCTGCTGCTGCCCGTTGGGGGCAGAGAGAGAGAGAGAGAGAGAGAGAGAGAGAGAGAGAGAGAGAGAGAGAGAGAGAGAGCACTGACAGTGCTGCCAGTCTGAAGACTCTGACATTCTGAATTGAACTGCAAAGTTTGAACTTTTAAGTTATGTATGAAGTTATGAACTTAAATTACTAAATCCAAAGTTCAAAGCTCAAAGCTATTCATACTTTTTTCAAAAAAAAATAAAAAATCTGTTTCTTTAGTCTTGTCCCTGCTTTGCACTGTTTGCAAATCTGCATGTCTGCTAGTTAAATGTGCTGGTTGATTTGCTGCAAGACACGTGCTCTGCTGCCTGAACTACAGAGTGAAAAGCAGGTAAGTGCCTGCCAACACACCCACAAACCCCCCGTTTTTTTTTTTTTTTTGGGGGTCCGGACATTTTTGCACCCCGGGGACCGGTCCGGACTGTCCGGTGATGTCTGGAACACCAGACAGTCCGGACCGGTCCAGACACTGGTCCGGAAGACAGTCCGGAAGTGTCCTGTGTGCGGGTCCGGGGTTACCATGATTTTGAATACTTGGGCTTTAGAAACAGCTCTATTCAAATGAACATCACATAAAGGGGGGATATTTATCAAATCAACACAGGACTTCCGTTGGGGTTTTATTCAGATAATGTTGCATGTGACGAGTTTTTATATCCAAGAGTAAGATATCAGAATGTGTCATTTCGTCAATTTACGCCCTCAGATGATGACGATGCTACGTTGCCAGTGCAGGGTTTTCGTCGATTTACGCCCCCAGATGATGACGATGCTGTCGCCACGACTATACTCTTTTCTCCGCCTTCTCTCTTCGTTGTGGTCCCTCTCTCGCTGCTCCTGGACAAAGGTGCGACCACTGGATCAACTGACCTGGTAAACGGGGGCGGCTGGGCTGGCTGATTGCCCTATTCCCCATGTTTTCTATGCGTGGCCCCAAAGAATAAAAAAATAAACGGAAGGTGAGGCTGCTATGTCACAACTCCTATTGCTCGAGGGTGGAAGTTTTAAGTGCGTGTCCCTGTGGGTGGAGTTTTCTGTGCTATCATGACAAAGGCCTAAACCACGCCGAGGTGTCGGGTCATGGGCAGGCCACCTGTGCCACTGAACTTTGTGGTGGCCCACCCATTGAAAACTTGTGTGCATGCCACCAATGAACTTAGGTTGAGCCTTGGGGCTCTCCATGTATACCGGGGGCAGGGGGGTGGGTCAGTCATGGGAGAGTTGTGCTTCAAGATCTCGTGCTTATCCCGCCTCCCCACATTAGCAAGATGCATCTGCTCCCGCATGCGCCCGGTCATTATCGCTGCATCTGGACTGAAAGTTGGGCCCAAACACAACTTTAATGACCGGGCGTTCTATTCGGGTGAGAACGGTAGGCTTGACATTTTGCTCAGTTTCATTCTATGCCATTTTCTGGGTTCTTTTTTTTCCTCTCTTTTCAAAAAGGGGGCAGCTCCTCACTTCAGCGTGTTTCTCAGAATCCAGTCAGGATTCAAACTCATGTTTTGTTTACTGACAGTTACGTGTGTGTACCATTTTCTGGGTTCTTGGGTGCAGGCACACAAAGAATTTCTTGTAAGAAGCACCCCGTCTATGGCTGCAGCTCTCAAGGTGGGTGACGATGGTGCCGAGGCGGTTGAGCCCTTACACAAATTTAGTGAATTCACCCATTTGTGGAGGCCGTGCAAACTCTGCTTGATGCAAACCCTGACCGATGACGGTCAAACTGTCTCTGTGCTCCATTTTAGAAGGGGGGCATTTGTCATCTGAATCTGAATATGAACTTTTTTCATAGGATAAAAAATAACGAGGAATCGTCCTTCGGGACATCCGTTAAAATTGGAATGATACAGAGAAGGGTAATTAATAATTGGCATGGCCCCTGCGCAAGGATGACACAAATAAATCGAGGCATGGTCGAAATTTAAAAAAAGAAAAAGAAAAAGGAAAAAAAAAGGAGGAATGGTCCTGATGTACTTGCTTGAGGGCTTGATTAGTAACTGTCAACAAAGAGTTTGAATCCTGTTGGGTCGAACAATGCTAGGGGGTAGATATAGTATACGTCCACCGGGTAAAGAAAAAGAAGCACTTCTTGCATTACGAAAGGAGGGCCGCCGGTCAAGGGAGGAAGGGGCAGGTAGGGAGTACGACGGAGGGAGGACTGGAAGGAGGAGGTCAGGTGGTGATCGGGCTGAGGAAGGAAGGGGAGGAAGGAGATCAGGGGAAGGAGGAGGTCAGACAGAGATTGGGTGAACGAAGGGGGCAGATGAAGGGGAATGAGGCGGCCAGGCGGACGGAGGCCAGAGGGAGGTTGAAGAGAAGGTGCGGAGGAGGCAGTAGGCAGGGGAAAGGCGGCAGAGAGTAGGGCGGAAGCAGGAGTTCAGGTGGAGATCGGGCAAAGGAAGGAAGGGGAGGAAGGAGATTGGGGGAAGGATGTTAAGAGAAGGTCCAGAGGAGGCTGGGAGAAAAGGGAGGCGGCAGGGAGAATTAGGGCAGAGGGAGGACAGAAAGCAGAACGTGGTTGAGAGGTTGAGTGACGTATGGAGGAAGGGAAGAGGTAAGTGGGAGACGAGGAAAGACGGCAGGGTGAAGGCGGGCGGAGGGAGGGCAGATGGAAGGAGGGAGGGCAGAGGTTGGGTGAGGTACGGAGCAAGGGAA